CCCCAAAACCCCAAAACCCCAAAACCCCAGCTATTTTATAACAAATTGAAATAAATAATTATGGAATCTAAAGTCTCCACCCAAACTATTGGTCCAACTCATCAAAAGATTGAGAGCTCAGCTTCAAGTTTGTTAGAAAATCGCATTCTTAAAGAAGAAGTTGCTAATTCAGAGATTTGAATGGATGCTCTAGGATCTAAGAGCGAGAGTATCAATTTTATAGAGTCTTGACATTTAAATAAGTTTGTTTTTGATGACTCTAAAAGTTCAAAAGTTATATCCCCATATGTCAAATTAAAGCCAGTGTCCAGATATAGTTCAAAACTCAATACATACGTGTATAAAAACAAGAATTATTCGAAGTTGGTTTCAAGATTCCTTGAAGTATTTGGCCAATAATTCGTTTAGGTTCACAAAAATGTGCAAAAGATAGAAGAATGGCAACTTTATATTCTTGGTTCAGTTCCTTGTAAAATTCAAAATATGGGATTAAACAATGTATTGGCAGGCCTTTCAAAGTTTACAAAATGAGTAGAATTTGGGAAATTAGAAATTGGACCAACACATCTTCAGAAAATCATTGTCTGAGGTAGACATTTGAAAGGAATCTGTTTTAATCGATGTATGATCTCTGAGCAACAATGGAGCTCTACTTTCAAGAACTATTACTCCTCATCCGTGAATTTGAATCATGTTATTTTCCGTAGATGCTATTCAAGAATACAAGGTGAAAATAACTATATCAGATTTATCCCAGACATTATGAAAGGAATACTTGATTCATCCTTTAAGATCTTAATCAACACTATTGAGTTCTATCAATCCACTAAAAACCTATCAAAAGAAGCTCTTTTGGAAGCTCTCGAATGCAAAGCAGAAGGTTTTGATATAATATTAGAGGAGTATAAAATACTGTTTGTTCTTGGTCCATAATATACCACTTGTATGATGTTTCAATCTAAAGATCTCCTCTGGGGTTTTGGGGTTTTGGGGTTTTGGGGTTTTGGGGTTTTGGGG